ATTTCTAAGCATTTTGTTCAGTTGTTAAATTCAAACTATAACTTAAAATACAATTAATTTCACCTCTCTTTTCTTGCTGTTTTCAAATAGTGTGGACTTCATGACAAAAAGCCAATGCCAGTTGATATTTATTTTTTTTCTCTCAACTCAGTCTGTTCTTCTATTCTCTTTTCTAAGGAACATCAGTCATCATTTAGGCCTGTGTAACCGAGAAAATAATTAGCCTACTAGTGTTTAACAAGTGCCTAGGTACATATGTGAGTCAAATACCCACATAGATTTAATTTCTGTCAGGGCAACTTACTTTAGATTCTATGCATCAAAGAGGGTACTGAAGGAGAGCTTTCATGGGCTATTGCTTACCTGCATGAACATTTGAACTTAAAACATCGTTCTTTTCCTGACCAATGAAGCATGTTTAGAATTAAGGAGGTGAAGAATGTCCTAAAGTTCTTTGCAGATACATCAAAATACTTTTATACAGAATAGCAACTAAACAGATTGACAATCAAAGTGAGTTCTGACCAGTGTAAATGGCTGTAAACCTTATGCTTCAAGATTGTCCTGGTCACAAATGTAAGTTGTACATCACCATCAGAGATTTGATGCCACTGTGCAGTCCAGTGTTGGTTGCTTGGCCCAACTGAAAGACTGAGGCTGTGTCATGTTTGTTTTCAGACTTCTTGCTTTTACTGAAGACTAATACGCACCATTTCATATCAAGCAACAAATAGTGTACATTTAGGATGAGGTTCATGTGCTTCATCTTCAGATCCTTGCAAACGGAAAATAGGCGTTGCTCAGCTCATTGGCGCAGTCCTGGTCTTGTCATTTTAGAGATGCACATTTTTAAATCTCTGATCTTTAAGGGGTTCTCCTGGTTTAGTGAAGTTTGTTCAGCATGTACATGCTTTCTGGAAAACAGAAGCATTCAGGTAGATCAGCTTTTAAAACCGGTGGCTGCTGACAAACCCTTGATTATAGAGCACTTGAAAATAATGGATGGTTAATTCTGTTATTACCTGTTTCATTAAATGGAGCAAATGAGCAATATAGTCTAACTTTGGCTTGCCCAAGTTGATACACTGTATGTGTTGTAATGATTTGTGTCCAGGTTTTTGACAGCTGTGTCTAAATTGTCAACACAGTTTGTAACTGTTAAATGCTTCATTTCATGTGAACACGTACAAAACTTTTCTGCATAGAAGAAGAATTCTGCAGTTTTGAGAAACTGTGAAAGGCTGAATTTTCTGTTTTTCAAATTGATTGAAATCACTGAAAATCTGAATTAATTAAATTTTTTGGCCATTTTTTCCCTTTCTTGTGGAATAGTCTTAAGTCAGACTTTTTACATAGGTGTGAATGTTTACTAACTAGCACAAACTGATGCTTTTTAACTCTTTGAAATCTGACTCTTGCTTTTTCATCTTTTACTTTAGCCACACCTTGAATGGACTGTTCAATGGGGTAGAAGTTGGTGGCTTTCAGATACACATGTCTCTAGCTAAAGCTGCAGTAGACTGATGAGGAGACGTTATTAATATTCATTCTTTCATTCTGTTTTTCCTCAAATTTTGGCATACTGAAAGTCCTGAGTGCCCTTAAAATCAGGCTGCTTACCAAGCCAAAGTACACTACAATAACTCTGTAATGCAAGAGGTAGACAGGGGGCTTTCTGTGGAGCACAAATTCCATATAGAATTAATTACTGTCTTGATACTTGAAAATATATACATTCCTGCCTTTTTCATTTCCTTTCTATGATAAATAATTCCCCTGAAAGTTAAGCAAGAACTTGAAGCAGTGATTTATTATTATTTACTTCAAAACAGTATAAAAAGAATGATGTTGGAAATTATAAAATGCAGTAATCAAGTACAAGACTTTTTAGAATTTTATTCTCAAAAGAGATTTTCTTGCAGCTGAAATAATTATTGCGGTGCTCTTACTTAGCCTAAGTCATTTTAATAAAAAAGTAGCTGCTGCATTAAGTAGTATGGATATAAGAAAAAAACCTGAGCATATGAGCATGAATTCATTGAATTCATGTTACTGATTTTCATGTGAATCAAGATATTCAAAAACATGGCAAGTATGATGCTTATGATGTTACCATTTTAAAGTAAATGTATTGCCTCTATTTCCTTTCTGCAATTTGGAATAATTCTCACTTTATTAGTATTTTTGAGGATGCTGAGATCTTTAGGGGAGCCAATAGTGCAGAGCACTCTAACATAGAATATTAATTAGCATCATGTACTTTAAGTGGTATTTCAGTCTTATTTCTGTAAGCTGTTACTTGTTTAAAGAGTGAGCATAATTTCTTTTCCTTCAAAGTACCGCAAAACGTAAATGTGCAGATAATATAATACTTCCTTCTTTTGCAGAAATGCTAAAAAAGCTCATTTTGGTATCCTGAGATCCCATCATGTCCCACCAAGCCAAGAGGGGTAACCTGAATCTAGAATACCTTGCCTTTGCAGTAAGCTGTTCTGGAGATAAGGAAGATAGCAGTGCATATACACCATATGATAGAGATGGTTGTCATAGCTTGCTGGTGACAATATTCTGCTGCTGCAGGCAGTGTCTTTCATGTGAAATATAAAGCTACTGTTTTTAATAGTGTTTGACCTTTATAACTGCTGTGCCACTCTGAAAAAGCATGAGAGTTAATAGCAAAGGCTGGAATAATTTCAAATTATTCAAATTTCAAACCAAATTCCTTTTCTCTGTCACTGTTCCTCTAGCCTTTTTTGGGGGGCCTGGGAAGGGGGATCTAATATTTCTCTCTTCTGGTAACTTGGCATAAACAGCTGTTTTGTGCTACTTTGCCAGTGGTGTCTGCATCCTTGCTGTAAGCAGGCAGAACTCAAGTTATGTCATTAAATCAACACCTGGCCCTGGTTATTCTGACATATTGGGCCAAAAGATGTCTGCTTTCCCGTTCACGTTCTTGCCATTGTATGGGGTAATTTATTTATTTACTTGCCTACAGAGAAGTCTTCTGCATATTAGCACTTCCCTCCTGCCCTTCTTCACAGGAAGGAGACCAAAGGAGAGCTGTCTGTTTTCTGGGGAGTCAGAGCATATGGTAGAGTGTGTCCTGACTGGTTTTCTGAGAAGACTCAGTGCATTTCTGAAGTGCTCAGCCTTGAGCTGCATTGGCTGTCTTACAGAATCATAGAATCGTCTAGGTTGGAAGGGAGCTTTAAGATTATTGAGTCCAACCATCAACGTAACGCTGCCAAAACCAGCAATAAATGATGTCCCTAAGCACCACATTTACCTGTCCTTTAAATACCTCCAGGGTCTTCTTACTTTCTAACTCTTGGTAGGATGTGGAAAAGCAAAGGAGCGTATAGTCCCATTTTGGCTCATCTCATGGAGAGAGCAAGACTTCAGGTAAACTTCTGTGAAGGTCCATGTACACAGGGTTGGAGAACAGAGGCAGAGGGAACAGCAAAGTTAGAAACCTTAGTATTGAGGACAGGAGAGAAGCAGGAAATGTAGCAAAATTACAAGGCACTCATTAAGGGAATGTGGAAAGCTGTTGGGGATAGAAGCTTTGCTAGGTGAGAACTAATTGCAGAGAATTAGGTGTTTGTGAGGGAGCAGATGGATTTCTTGGAACAATCTACCAGAGGACTGGAGAATTAATTAATTGGAGACTTTCACAAAATTCACTGGGTGCCTCAGTAAGTAAGCAGAGAAGCAGATTCATTTTTTTGAGGACACTATGTGAATAAGGGTTTCCAATGAGTTAATTTATTTTGTACTCGCTATGTGTTTATTCATGTAATTTGCATTTTGGAACCTAGATTCAGAGATTTCTTCTGGATTTTCTGGAGAGATTAATGCAGTTACAGAGGTGGGGAATGGAGAGACAGTGATTTAATGGGAGAAATACAGAAAGTGGAAGAAAGCTCTGTGAATTAAAATGTGGTAAGCTTCAATGTGCAGCAAGAGATTGCTTTGTACTGGAGAGTAATTGACAAAGGTGCAATAACAACTAGATTGGGGTGAACCTGCAAGTTAAACACAGCCTAGTATCTGTAATGTGTTTTTTGTACCTTTTAAAAAAGAACCTGTAAAGATTTGTTGAAAAGAAAAAACACTAAGGCAGCAGAATTTATTAGTAGTGTAAAGTAAATGATACCTCTAGAGGTGGGTAATAGGTGCTGCTTCGCATTACCTGGCTCATTTTAGCCTTCTTTCCTTTTGTCCCCCTCAAAAAAAAAAACCATTTAAATCTGTCATGCTGATAAAGGCACTGTCATTTCAAAGGGACAGGTACCTACTGGCTTTGGCCTGTTGTGACCATGCATGTCTGTGTATATACATGCATATGCATACATATACAAAGGACAAATTAGAAAATCGATATTTTCTCCATCCAGGTTTTGAAGAAATGGTCTTGTATATGTGTGCTGTTTCAAATGTTCATAAGAGATGCAGAAATACTATAGGAAACGATCATTGAAGGACTCAGAAAACAACAGGGAAGTATACTAAAGTGATTAAATACTGAATTTATGATTATTTTTAGGCCCTACAGAAAATCCTAAGAAACTATTCTTTTCTTATATGCTAAATACTAATCTAATGTTATTTCCTCTTTAGCAAGTGCTGCAACCTTCAGACAATTGTTAAGAACAGGGTATTCTGTATTTATTTACTAATATTTTGGGGTTTAATAGTTGTTTGGATAACCCCTGTGTTTATGCACATCCGTGTTCAAATTTTAAACCCCTGCAGGAAGAAAAACAGAACTTTTAAATTACGCTGATCACTAATTATTTTGGTGCCTTGACAGTTTACCAGCCTGTAATTACTGACTTTTCCTATTACTCTGAACTGAAATAGCTGTAGCGTGTTCACTATATTTACCAGGGATGAATCACCTGATGCCTGCCATACTTCTACAGCAAAGGAGAAACTTCCACTAAAAATTCTGCAAAATGCAGTGGTAACACCTTGGGGGTTTGTTTTATTGTTTTCAGGGTGCTGGGTGCACTGCACTGGTGGTAGCTGTGGTGGCAAGGAAGTTAGAACTTACCAAAGCTGAAAAACATGTGCATAATTTCATGATGGACACCCAGCTAACTAAAAGAGTAAGTCACACTTTATATTCACAACTGAAAAGGAAATGTGTGTTAATTTATTTCTGCATTTGTTTTAAATAGTCTCCTGCTCCGTTCTTCTGAACTTTTTCAAGGGTGTGATTTTGCATGGAGGAGGAATTGAATGCCTCGAGCTTTTCTCTGAATTGAGGGCAACTGTGAGTTCTCAGCAGATTTTGAGGATTTGAATATTCTTCTGTAGAGGGTCCTTGCAGCTGGAAGATAATTGTTATAACCAACAGTTAAATGCTGTGAAACTAAAGACTATTATATTAAACTAAAGCACTTTCCTGCAGCATATGAGAAGAATATATAAAATCTTTTCACTTAGCTTTTCACTTAGCAGCACACAGTACTGAAGTGCCTTGAAAGGTGTTTGTAGATAATAATATTTTTAGAAGAGATTATTTAAAAAAACTCTTTAGAAATCCTTAGAATTCAGAAAAACGTATTTTAAACTTTTCCTTATGAAATACAATTTAAATTACACTAATGTCTTGGCAAATGAAAGAATACAACAAACAAGGCAATAGAAATCCTTTATTGAAATAAAACAGGACAGCGTTGAGGGAACAAGGAAATGGGTAGGAGCTGCACAGTCCACTCAACTTGTTTAATCTTCGCTATTGAGAAGACCCAATATGGAGAGGAAGGTCCTTACACTCACAAGAGGAACTCAACAGAGCTTGTCCTTACTGATGGGCGGATAGGGATGTCGACGCCTGAGCTGGAAACCACGGCTCTGCTCCGGGTGGGAAGGAGGTTGGCTGCCTCAGCACAGCTCCATGCAGTGGTGCAGTGCTGCGCTGCCACAGGTCCTCTGCTGTAGAGAGCCGTGTCGTGTCTCTGCAAGCGGTGTTTCCAGGACACGTCAGCACACCATTTCGGTTGTGCTGGCTCCCTCCTTTCTATGCTGGTCACCACTAACAGCCTGTATCTCCCCTAAGCAGTCACGGTGGGAAATGGCTAAGGCTGAGTAGGGAGGCAGTTCTTATGTAGGTATAAAGGGTGTCTGAGTTGAGATGTCTGTCTGAACTTGTTGATCTACACTCCTGGTGTAGTCAGGTTAAGGTCTTGTTAATACTAGACCACAGACAACAATTTGTCCCTTCCTAACACAGGCACTTTTCTAGTGCCATCTGACAGCTGAGCTCAAAATGTCCCTCAGGAGGGGAGAAAGGTTTTGTAAAGATTGGGCAGGTTTTGAATCTGTTGTTCATTTGTGCCTCTTAAAATGTATTTTATTGAGCTATCCTTTATATAAATCTAGGTATCAGTCTAATACTGTATACAAGTGGTGCTTTGGTAGCTTCAAACTCATGAAACTCAAAGCACATAAAAATCCAACCAAGCAAACAAATGTGAGATGCACATCAGGTCACAAATTGGTTACGTAGATGCTAGAGGTGTTTCCTCACAGCCTGAAGGTAGCCATACCTTATGCAAATGCAAGGACTAGGTAGAGATTGTGAGGAAGTCTCTAAAATTAGGTTGTGCTTCCAATGAAGTCAGGACCAAGGTTCTCCAACACTCCTACAGGTACAAGGTGAGGACCTTGTGCTGGGAAGAGCTACTGCATGGCATTCCTGCAATGCCTTTACTTAGACATTGATTTAGCTCTAATGCTGCAGTGACTGGCATATGAAGTTTCAGGGAGAGAAAATAAAGATGAATAATAAGGATGGTTTTCCTTTGCAAGTAACCTAGTCATTCTGTCATTAATCAACATTGCATTGAAATTCTTTGTCTTTTGTTTTCAAGCATTCTTGAAAATTTTGTAGGGCCTAAGAAAAAACTGTAGGTACTCTAACATTTAACATTTTATAGAAAGCCTCATTTAAAGAAAAAATTCAAAGCACTTATGAAATAGAACACTAGCTACATTGATTGACAAGATATTTTTTCATCTTCTCACAGAATGGTAACAAAGAAACAGGAATAAAAATATAAACAAAAAAAGTATGTTCAAACAGCTCTGGAAATTTAAAAGATTGTTAAAATGCTAAAAGAACTAAGAGGTACTAACCATAGAACAAGAAGGAAATTTTATGATCCTATTAAATACGTTTAGTTAATTACCATACAGATAATGCATTGGTATTTCCTCACTGTAATTTATATTGCCATAAACACCAAACGGTACTAACTCTTTAAAGGGGAACAAATTATTCCCCAATGAAAAGAGAGATGGTCCCAATAGCATGTTTAGAGGTAACACGGAAATTGCTCAGCTGTCCCCTTGGTCCAGTTATTGCTTTCTGCCCTCAGTGCTGCAGCTCCTTGGTGTACCCACTTCTCACAGTTAGGCAGGGTCTTAAGTGCTTTAGAAAGGGTTTATACCAGAAAAGAAACAACGTGACATGATGCTACTTTTGTCAACCTGGTGTTTTTCTTTTATTAAACAGGTGAAAAATGCAGCGGCCAATGTACTCAGGGAAACATGGTTAATTTATAAAAGTACAAAGCTGGTTAAAAAGATAGACCATGCGAAAGTAAGGAAACATCAACGAAAATTCTTGCAAGCTATTCATCAGTAAGTACTGTTTTGCTTTGGTTTTTCTCTCCAAGTGCTTTGTCTCTTAGTTTCCCTCTCCCTCATAGTCACACTTAGTCCCCGTGTCCCAACCTGCCCTCTCCCTTCTCTCCTCCCCCACTCTCTCTCTTCCCCTTCATAGATCATTGCTCTTGAGGTTGATTTTTCTCTAAGAGTAAGACAAAGATGAGGTTTTACTGCATTACCTGTTTATGAAAACATAAAAAACTATATTGGCTGTGTCTGTCCAATATGGGGCAAATCAAACTTGTCTATATTTTTTTAGAAGTTTCCTATGCTTCCTGAATTAGCTAAGATTTTTTTTTGTGTTTCGCCACCGAGACTATCCTTTGTTGTTACATGTTGGCTTACAGGTAGTAAGATACATGCTACAATAGACAGAAGAAAATGAAAAAAATTTCATTTGTAGTAGATGTTTCAATAATTTAAAATCAGAATGATGTGATAGAACAGAGCCTATGAGTATGTATGTAGTGATTAATGAAAAGAACATGCATCAAGCATCGTTGGACAGCCCAAATGCAATCAGTTGCTTCTCTCCGCCATATATTCTCAGTGCATAAAATCAAATATTGGTATGTCAGCTATGATCCTTGACATCCATTCTAGAAAATGGGAGTATATGCCAACAGTTGTGTGACCTTTGAGCACCTCTGACATGATTCAGATGAGTTCTTCCCCTCTACTGAAATCTTAAAGGGTTGAAAACAAGCCTGAAAACTGTAACCAGTAGTAGGATTAAATTGAATTATGATATTGCCAGACTGTAAGTATTTATCTAAAATTCTTAATACATATTTGTCATAAAGCATGTGAAAACCAGCAGAATTGCACAATGATTCGGTTACTCTTCCTTGGACTATATGGGAAAAAAAAAGATACCTTTGTTCCTAGGAACCACAAAGACTTCTTGAGTAATGGTCAGGACCCATGCCACTATTTGTTTGCTGTATTTGATGTCCCCATCAAGCCCGAGGCAGCCATTTGTACAGCCTGTGAAGCTAGTTTTCATGAATAACTGGGGAGATGTAGGTAAATTAAGTAAGTTTAATTTCACACTGACGTTTGATAGCATTTGGGTGTGGGGCTGTGTCGGAGCCCACCTGTGAGGAGATGTGAGGGAAGCATCCATCAGGAAAAGAACAACTACGTGTCATCTTGCACGAAAGACAGGAAGGAAGGACCAGATTATCACAGAATCAGAGAATCACACGATCTCTTAGATTGGAAAAGACCTGTAAGATCATCTAATCCAATCATTAACCTAACACTGACAAGCCCACCACTAAACCATTTCCCTAAGCACTATATCTACACGACCCTTAAATGCCTCCAGGGATGGGGACTCCACCACTGCCCTGGGTAATGCGTTCCAATGCCTGATGAACCTTTCAGTAAAGAAATTCTTTCTAATATCCAATCTAAACTTCCCTTGGCGCAACTTGAAGCTGTTTCCTCTTGTTCTATCACCTGTTACTTGACAGAACAGGTCGACTCCCACCTCTCTGCAACCTCCTTTGTAGCTGTAGACAACGATAAGGTCTCCCCTGAGCCTCCTTTTCTCCAGGCTACACAACCTCCATTCCCTCAGCTGCTCCTCATAAGACATGTGCTCCAGACCCCTCACCAGTTTCGTTGCCCTTCTCTGGACATGGTCCAGTGCATCAATGTCCTTTTTGTGGTGAGGGGCACAAAACTGAACACAGTACTCAAGATGCGGCCTCACCACTGCTGAATACAGGGATGAAATCATCTCCTTGGTCCTACTGGCTATGCTATTCCTGATTAGTAAATTTAGGCTAACAATTATTGTTTCACTGTTTTGTAGCAATGTTTTAAAGCAATGGGTAGCTAAGCTTAAGATACAAAGTATTTTATAAACCTTGATTACTATATTATATTTAGCAGACTTGCAGGATTAAATGTTACTGTGCTATTGCAGAAATAATTGAAGGAATAAAAAGATGGCAAAAGTCAAGGCATTTTTATGTGGATATAAAAAGTGTATGTATTTTCCCAGTATGGTCATCCTGCTTAGCTTAAAGGATTGGGAGGCAGAGAGGAGTGGCAGGGGTTCTGGGATAGAGGATGACATGTCCTGTGCCTCCATTGCTGTACCTGAATCCTTGATTGCAAAGGTTATTCCTTAATGTTTTAACTTTGCTATTTATTTTGTGTGTGTGTGTCTGTATGTGTGTGTGTGTGTGTGCACGCGTGCACATATGTTCAGAGAAGAATCTAAAAAGCACAGCAGGCTCGATCTGCAGCTTTATGTATCATTCAAGCCCAGAAGAGCTTCACAGGATGTAAAGTGTTGTTCTGCACCTGCCTTAAAAATTCATTAATCAGGTGGGGTGAAGAAGATGGCAGCAGTAATTTTTTCCTAGCTGTGCCAGCCAAACTTTGAACAGCTCTGTTAATAATGCATTTCCCTCTGTCCTTTAGCGCTTTGCATCCCATTAGCAAAACTTCTGTACTTCTGCGAAAAAAAAAAAAAGGATCATTTTCTCAATATACTGAAGAATGTGCCATGGATGAAAATGTTGCTCTAGCAGTTTGCTTTCTTCCAGCTGTAGCAGACTTGCTATGCTGTGGGTGCAAATTATTTTTCTCCCATTGCATCTTTGAACTTTTCTCAAGTGACTCATGGTAGTATATGGCTCTTTTCCATCTTTCTGGATTCTTAGGTTTTTATTGGTCCCCCTCCGTCACCTTCCAACCATTTCACTGGAGACAGAAGTAAAAGGAGTGAAGTTTCAGGGCCAGTTTTATACAAGAAACCAGAGCAGATCATGATAACAGTCTCAAAACCCACGGTCACGGCTCTAAAACTGCCTTCAGCTGGTCTGGGTCTTTTTAGGTTCTCATGCACACTAAATAAGATGAAGGTGAAATCATCACTCTGAATGATAGTATTAAAATCCATTTTATGTATTGTATGAACAAGAAAATCTACAGATGGTAGTTAATGGGAAGGTTTGAAGCTATTGCAGATTCCTTCACCATGAATACAAGTGAGTGAGTTAGACTCCACCTCAGGCAGTTACTGATTGAAAGAAGTAGCAGCTCCCTTGGATTTCCCACCTGCTGAATCGAGCCCACTGTGCTCATTTGGTTGTTTTAGTATATTTTACAGTTTGTTTTCTTTTGTTTTGTCTTTTTATTTCAACAAAATGCAAATAGAGCTCGGAAGTAAGTTGTATAAGCTGTTCCTTTCTAAATTTGCAGAATTTACCACTGTCTGCATGCAAAAAATAAGAGTCTTTATTTGTGAACTTCGGTGGTCTGATTGCTGCCATGGAAACGCGATCCAGAATCATGATCTTTTGCTGTGATAAGTGAAGTTCATAAAATCAAGATGTTTCATATTTTCTCATAATGAATTTAGGAACGAAAGTCTGACAGTTTTCTTTAAATCCAGCTGCTGCAGCTAAAGACTTGCCATTACCTAAAGATACAACTTTACAGTCTGTGATAGGTATTGGGTTGGTTACCATGAGGAATTATCATGTTGGTGTCAGCTGGTACTTGTATTGCTAGAAAAACAATGGATTTCTTGGCATTGTATAATTAAAATACTAACTCACAAACAGATAAGTCAATGAATCTTCAGAAAAGCAGAAAACACATATTCTGCAAATTATTTGAGAGATGCTCACCAAACACTAGGGTTACTATTCTCCAGTCAAATCATTTGAGCAATTATTCTGTTCTGAGACTGTAGTGATATAACTCCATACCTTGGAGACTCCTCCCTGTTTTTGCTTTAGAATAGCTCCAGCTCATTGCCTCTGAAAGCAGCATTCCTACTGTCTGCATTTATGTTGTGCTCCGAAGGAAGTCTCCAGGAGAAGAAGAGCATGTGGCATTCCAGTAACAAGCCACTGGAATGTCAACTTTCTATGAACGATTGATTTCTACCTTAACAGAGTTATTTCCATGTGTTTTAAAAGAATTTTCATTCTTCACAACTTATTTTCTCATGATGCTTAGCCTAGATATGAAAGGAAATGCTCGGTAACTAAAGATATGAACAGAAACTTTCTGATTTTGGAATATCTCCAAGAAGGCTTTCTTTAAAGTAGCTTTCTAACACCGTCACTGAGAAATAGGCAGAGTATGCATTAGCAACCCACCTGCCATAAAATGCTGTCAAACTTATTTTCATTTGACAGCTAACCAAATTGTTAGCTTGGTTGGCCCTTGACATACTAGTAGATTGCCTGGTATCTTATCACACATTGTAAATTGATATATTGCTTTTGAAAAATGCCGTTTCCTGCTAAGAACAGCCACCAGAAAAGTCATGGAAAGTCCAAGTATTTCTCTGTTGGGAAATGTTGAACAAATAACTCATACTTAAGAGAGAAATTGCTTATTTGTGAAAATCACATCTGCAAAGCACTCGTCTATTAGTTAATCTGAAAAGCATGGACTTTGTTGCAGGGAACACATAACAATGGTCATGTATATATCTTTCAAAGAATGTGCATAACTAATAATAATGCAGATAGGTAGGCATCAAAGAGAAAAATGTACCTTTGCTGCTTCTTTCGTAGTTTTTCAATGCTGTAGTTTGAATAGCAGATTGAGAAGGAATGTCTAATGTAAGTTTAAAATGCAATCCTATTTAAATTCACAAATTAAGTAAGAAAATCAGATGTATTGGCAAGTATGTTGGTTATTTAGCTGCTGGTCAGATGAAAGTTCTGTTTAAAGTAATGAGAAACTCACTTATCACTGTATTTCCATCAGGTTCAAACACCTGCTAACCCAATCCATTTCCGACAGAACAGGGCTACTACCTGTATCTAGTCATGTAGGCATGGGAAGATTCTTGATTGCTACAACATCAATGACAAAAAAACCCAGTTGTTCTATGTTTCTTCCTATATCTACTTGTCACGATACTGAGGCTTTGAGGAATGTTTTGGCTTTCTTTCATATAGTCTGGATAAATTGTTATCTCCCTTTTTGAATTCAACTTTGACCATGGCAAATGGTATTCTCAAGGACATCACATTTCCTTGCTCTTTCCTTTTTTGCGGTGTTGAAGAAGCATGCTTCTCATTGTAGCAGGCACATGACCAATTCTGACTTTACACAAAGTACTCAAGGCATTGTCCATGCAGTTATTTGCTCTTGTAAGTTTTGTGCATGCTTTTTAGAAATCCTAAGATGAACACATACACAAAAAAAAATCTGACTTAAAATTCCAATTTTTAGATTAAGAAGTGTAAAAATGGAACAAAGAAAACTGAATGATCAAGCCAACACTTTGGTGGACCTGGCAAAGGTTAGTAGGCAATTACTGTTGTTAAAACAAGTGAAAATGTTAAACGTTATACATGCAAATATTGTTAACAATTTTGTTATTTGTAGAAAATGAAAATATGTGTGTGTTTTGTGGTAACACTGAATGAAACACCTTGTTTATGGCTCTGACCAAAGTTTGAATGCACCTTATTGGGGTTTTTTTTATACATTTGAAAAACATTCCGCAATTGAGAGGCTGATCCTGAGAGCTCCTGAAGTGACTGCAGTGATCATGGTAAATGCTGAACTGTGAGTGAGCTGTAGTAGTGTAGTGCTGCATAGTAAAGAGATTTCCTGTCCGGTGATAGTGGTTGTCGTGTGAGGGACCATAGTACACAGGCTCTCACGCAGACTGGAATTAGAGGTTCTGGTTTTCTATTCTGCTGTCTTATGCAGCAGTGACTTTGGACAAGTAAATTTAGGTCTGCATTTGTTTAATTTTTTATAATGAATAATAGCTGCCTACTTTGCCAACATATCATAAGGCTTTATGAATCTTTTTTAAGTCATTTGAGATGAGGTAAAAGAAGCTACTCAGTGGCAAACTGCTTGTCTATTGTTGCTGTAATTTTTCATTAGTATAAAATAATGAGTAGAGAGTTAGAGGGCTGAGCTGATAGCATTCCAGGTTTCACATTAGACCTCAGTATTTAACAGTTACTTTGATCTTAATTTGAGGCTACGTTAGAGGCATTAATGGGCTTCTCCGAAGAGTTTCTTGTACACCTCTTCATGTACCTCAAAACTCTCCAATTTAAAGTGCATAAAAGCAAAGCTTAAACTCTTCAGTGTTCATTCCCCTTTTGCTTTAGAGAACCACCTGACAACTTCAGTTGCTGAAAATATGTTTCAGTCTAATGCTTCTGGCAACTGATAAGGAATTTGCAGATACTGTTTAATGTAGACTACTTTGCTTTCAAGGGTTATGCTAGCATCTTGAAACGGGGCAGAGAAATGGGTTATCAACACTCATCTGGTACTGAAGTGCTTTACCCTTCAGGCAGGCAGTCGTTCAATTAATTTTCATTCCCTTTGGATGATTTATAAACTTCAACCGGTTTGTCTACTGTTTTACATCCAGTTTTGACTCTAGTTTAAGTCAAATCCTAAGTCTGAGTCTATCAGAGGGAGAAATTGAGTCATTATTTTTAACCAGTTCCAAGTCTCTATGAAATAACACATTTCAGATTACGTTTTTACTGACCACTATGGCATTTTAAAGTACGCTCTATATACTTGCTGTAACCAGACACTGTTTCGTAGAGGGCAGATAGATAGATTGGGAAACGCAGAAGTAGAGAAGCATACAATGGCATTTTTACTCCTTGCACTACATTTCTAAAACAATCCACCCAACTGCTCTTACTGCAGCCAGTTAACAAAAATCCAGTCAGTTTAAGGAGGAGGCAGATGAGCAACACTTGTGTTCTGCTTAGAAGAATGAGCGTGTTTAGAATGAGAGAAAACACAGAAAAGTCAAGGATGGATCCTGGCTTTGGAGCCTTTGGTCTCCTGGTGGCTTACACAACTGACTGTTCACAAAGCTTAGCATGGTACATTTCTAAGCACCTGAACTTCCAAAAAAAGTCTTGTCTTTTGTCTAATTCGTTTAGACCTTGAAATCTAATATCAAAATATATTACATTTCTGCTCAGAAAATTTAGTAGAAAGTTTATTCTGAATCTTCAAGGAAAATTGTTTCCCAAGACTAGGTATGGTTATAATATTCATAACCTTTTTTTTTTTTTTTTTTTTTTTGTGAAGTGCAAAAGCATTTACAAAACCTTGTAGAGTTGTGCTGCTTGTTAAAACATCTGTAAGGTCTCTCTAAACCTTTGTTTCCATCCTTCTACTTCCAGACTCAAAACATCATGTATGACATGATTTCTGACTTAAACGAAAGAAGCGAAGATTTTGAGAAGAGAATTGTTACTCTGGAAACTAAACTGGAAACTTTAATTGGTAGCATTCAAGCTCTCCCTGGACTGATTAGCCAGACAATCAGCCAGCAGCAAAGGGATTTCCTCGAGGCTCAGATACAAAATTATGATAAGCATGTTGCCTACAGTGCTGAACGATCACGATCCTTGTCAAGAAGAAGGAGATCATCCTCCACAGCACCACCAACTTCATCAGAGAGTAGCTAGAAGAGAATAAGTTAACCACAAAATAAAGACTTTTTGCCATCATATGGTCAATATTTTAGCTTTTATTGTAAAGCCCTATGGTTCTAACCAGTGTTATCTGGGTTCTGATGTCAGAATCCTGGAAACCTGAACACGTTTTAGGCCAAAATGAGTGAAAACTCTTCTTTTTTCCCCCTCCTCCTCTCAGATGCACAGTGAATGCACCTATTATTGCTATATTAGATTGTTCCTCCTGTAATTTCACTAACTTTTTATTCATGCACTTCAAAAAAACTTTACTACTACAGTATATAATATAATTAAAAGGTTGATTTCTGCACATAGTTGCTTGGTTACTTGGACTTAACAACTAAAAAAAAAACCTCACAATCAAAAGGCCTAATTATAAACTTCTAAGAAACAAAATTGAAGCTTAATAATTATCTCTCAGTATGAAAACTAATTCTCTAAACTTTGCTTGCAGTGGAGGGGGAAAAAATCAATATTCATCTAACAGTGTGCTGTATATGTATAGTCATTTTAAAAGGTCACTGACAGCTTCGATTTCTGAAGTGATTAATTAAAAATATAGTTTATCCTAGAAAATAAGTTATGAAGTACGCTATGGGTTTTTTAAATCTTCTTAGGGCTTTTGTTTAACATGCATTTGTACACACACACATAGATAATATATATACATATATACTTATGTATATAAAATTATTTATGCAATGCCCATGGCAAAGATCTTTTAAACTGACTATTTGTAAAGCTACTGGCATGCAAAAAGCACAGGTAAAGTCCTGTTCATTTATTCAGAGTCTCATAATTATGCCAGGTAAATATGTCCAGACAGAAGCATCACTTTAAAGCTGGAAGTCTCCCATTAATGCTATTTGAGTTTTGAAAGTGTTAGGTTGCTACTTTCTCTGCTCCCTTTTATGTGTTTAATGTTTCTGGAGTGAATGATTGACACAGAGTTATAGTATACACAATTGTGTGATGGCAGCACAGTGTTCTGTATACATTACGTTTGGGTAATCCCCATGGTTTCTGCTATGCAGTCAAGCTTAGCAAGACACTTCTAGCAATATTTCCAAAAACTGTTGTAAAAAAACCTGCTGTAGACTGGAGTTATGGCAGTGGGGTATCTGTGGTACTTTACTTTCATGCACAAATAATAAGGTCTCCTGCTTTCTTAAAAAAAATCCACAAAGCATAGTGTACATGTTTGTGAAAAAGTTCTGGCTGACTTTTCTCCTGGTTTATATTCCAGAGTAGCAAAACTAGGTAAACGTAAATGCTCAGCACATGCAACTTGCATTCACAATTCCTAATTATAAACAGGAAATTATTTTAACTTTATGAAATATTTTGTAGTACTTGCTATTTATGAAATATACTAGTCCTGTCTCCCGCCCCCCTTGATTTACAGACAAGGGTGACACCATAGCCAAGTATAACGAGTAGGCATGGCTGACTCTTTTGCAGGAGTACTACATCTGCCTGGAAGTAACTAACATGCACGTTGAAGGAAATGCCGATTGCTCCATGAGACATTGTGAGTTCTGGTCAGGAGCGACAGGCAGGGAAGACAGTAATGCAGAAAGTCAGGGCAGAGCCATGCTGGACAAGACAGAAGAGCTGTTCTCTCCAGCAACCAAAATTTCCCAAACCAAATACATAATCTTAAAAACAGCAGACGCTTTAGGCCTATTTAAAATAAAGGGTCTGCCTTTTTTGGGGATACAAAACATGTAACTGATGAATACGTTACATCCAGAGGCATTGCTTGTTTACGAAAAGGTCAAGAGTTTCTCCAGCACGTTTTATGTCCTTGAGAAAGATGATGACTTTGCAGCAATTCTGCCCCTGGATGAGCAGGACAGTTACATGCCTTTGGAGTGCCTTGTTTACAGACTGTGGTATATTGTGACTGGAAATAATAAGCAGTTTGCACAGTATTTGCAGTTCTGCTTTTGTTTTTATGAAGTTCATTTCCAAAGGAAAAGATGGATATTATATAGTGCTAATACTGTGCTAGCCCAGTTGTAAACTAGATTAGATTTTGTGTGGTCATGAGGCCACCCGCTTTACACTGTTGGCAGGATTAGAAGTAGTGATTAATAATATCAGAATTTAGTAGTCAATTTTCAGAATTCTTATTTGAAGATTTTTGTTTGTCTGTTCTCCCATTTTTTGTATTTAATTTAGAATATATTTCCTGTCATTGAATGTGAAATACACTTGCTGTAGCTTGAATACATTCCTTTTTGTCCTGTCACTTGAATTAGCTCTTTCATTGTTCTCAACATCTTTTTTATATTTGTAAGACCTGGGTTTTTTTCTCCTCTGGGTTGTACAATTGGGTTTTTAAAGAACTGTAGCTCCACATTGAAAATTCTTGCCAATCTGTAAGAGGTAAGTTTGAATTAAGATCTAGCTGTAAGTATTGAGCTGGTTTATTCTGATGTGGAAGAGCAACTGTCATCTTTGACCTCTCAATTTCCTTTACACAGTAGGACTCAGGACCTCTTTTACACCTCTTTTACACCTCTCAATTTCTTTTACACAGTAGGACTCAGGAGCCTGATCATACTAAAGCAGCAGTTTTACATAAAAGCAGCGGCTTTATGCGAGCAGGGCTGTGAGATATAGCAGGACTATCCCTGTCAGTAGGATTCTGTAACAATATGCCAAATTCTTTTGGATTCCTTTTTCTTTGTTTTTAAAAGCAAACAACAAATGATGACGCAGTGGAATACTCCAATTTCTTAATTGACTCTAAAGTTCAGTACAAATATTTTATCTGCATTTTTGGTACTGATAATTCTTTTCTTCTTATACCTCGTTTTGAAAAGCACTTAAACGCTACATGTGAACCCAGTCCAAGAAAAGACATATGTAAACGTATATTCAGGAGAGCACAAAGCAGTATGGGTTTGATTTTCTTACTCCTTTTAACCTTTACTTGTTTGAGCTTTGAAGTACCACAAATTCCATTACTGATTTTTTATTTCCAAAACTTAAGCTCCCTCACTGTGTTCAGCATGTGAGCTCACCAAAAGGAAAAAGTAACATTATGACAAATTTCTGAAACTGCTTGGGTAGTTTAATGGGGATTTTTCTTTGAAGGATTGTTTACAAACAACAAGGAATCTTTCTCAAAGCATACGGTGTATTTACCACATTGCAGTTGAAAAACTTCATGCACCTCTTGCTTTACTCTCACCAATAGGAAAACTCTTTCAGTTGCTGTTGGACTTCTCCTTTTCACTGCACTCCAGACACCAATTCCATTTATCAGTTAGTTCAGAGTCTTGTTGCTAATCTTTGCATTTTTAATGACACTTGGCAGAGATATCTTGCCTGTAAGGACTGAAATGGAAGATCACAAGTAAGCCTATTCACCACACTTAAAACTAAGTACATTGATTTAAATAGTATTTTTCAGTTACATTTAAGTTTTTGCAGGATCAGAATAATACACTCACAGATATTATACTTGCAAATGCAAGTTCTTAATTCTGCAAATCATTATCTATTGTGAGCCTGTAGATCTTCCCAGACAGACTTGTGCCACTCAGCCTTTCTTTACCACCTGCTGCTCTGTAAAGATGGATCTGATGTGGAAAGAGTTTCACTATCTATAAGTTAAGCATCCAACTCAGGAGCTCTGAACACCTTCTGGAAGTCCGTATCGTGCCTTGTGAGCTATTTAAAAGCCCCAAGACTGGGTCTGAATCACTGTCATCATCAGAGGTCAAAGATAGGTAATAGGCATACTGGTTTACTGCTGATCAGTTTGTAAGACTCTTTCCGTATCAGATGTCATGTGGACATTCAAATTGATACACTGCACACTAAAAGCATATCTAAGCAGAAAAAAATAAATGGTTTAAATATGAGTGTCTAATATTCAGAATAAAGCCTATTACCCATGTCAGTACTATAAGTGGAAATTTTTTGAAAGCTCTTTTCCCCTAACTAAAAGTTACGAAAAATTCTTACCAAGTTTTATCTATGGAAGGAGGGATTGGTAAGTCTGTTCTCTCCATCCGCCAATTTTTTTGTTGTTCATATTGTTTCTTTTTTTTAAAAAAGAAACTCCTTAAATTCCTTTTGCTTTTTCACTCCACCCCTCTGAAAATAATTATTAAGTGGTGAGAAACAGCCAAATAAGGTGTGGAAGGGAGAAAAGAGCTACCACTGCTGTGTCTCACTTTGAGACACCTACCCCCGCATCAGCATACCTATGTACTCAGGTAGAAACAGTCACAAATTTCCTCCACCAGCACTCCTGGCTACCTAGATACAAGCCAGCTGTAGGCCAGGAGAGCACTGGCACATCGGTACAGTCCTGAGGTGGACCTTACACACACTGATAGCCAACCGATTTATCTATGTGGAACTTAATGTATGCATAATAAAATTAACCCACATCTGTCAATCAGGGCTTATGAATCTGATCTGTTAGCACAAGTGCAGAGAGGGCTGAGCTGTAATGTTTGTTAGCCTTTTTCTCCAAACCTTGTAAGCCGTATCTGTAAGGTTATTTCCCCTCTCTGTGACTGAGGGAATAAAGAAAAAGAGATGCTTAGGAGACACTTTGCAGTCAGGTGTGCACAGGTATGTCTCTGACCCACCTGAGTGCCTCACCATCTGCATATCAACCCTGGTCCAGAAACCACAAGGTTTCACTCGCTATAGAGTGAGCACAGCATTGAGCAAAATAAGCCCCCTCTCTCAAGAACAGCCTGATGCGCAAGGTGATCGCAATAAACAGGAGAGGAGAGTTGTGTTAATTTATGTGTTGCTGCACAAGGCTTATGGCTTAGCATAGCACCAAGCCTAACGCGGGCACTTGACCCCCGGCCAAGAATTGCTCGCAGCTGAGCAGTACAGCACATGGACGGAGCAGGTGCAGCCCGGCCTGGGCTAGGGTGTGTAGACATGCCATGAGAAAGCTAAAACGGAGGCAGTTGTCAGAATTTGCATGACCATACTGCCGTATATTAGACTTCGTTACAGTGATACAGTTGAAGCTCCCATTAGGTCAATAATTTTGAAGCTTTAATATTGAGAAGATTCTCCCACAGAGGACTGCAATGCCTCTTCGCGTAATGGAGGATAAGCAACACAGCTGCAGTGCAAGAAAAACCATAAGCCTCAAACATGAACCTGTTGTAATCTAACATGGCAAGTAACCAAATCAGACGGAGAAGGCAAGCATAAAATGCTTTGTGTTGACTTCCCTTGCATTCAGACTCACTTAAACCCATTAGTGTCTTCAAATATTTAGGAGAATCTAGACTGTTTTCAATTATACATGAAGCAAGCAACAAGGTTTTAGTTAGAGTAAAAGGTTCTACTTTAAAATGATGCCTGCTCTGACCTCTTGTTGCCTTCCAAACCTACATTTCCAAATATCTCGAGTCTGAAGATGAGCCA